ATCAGGGTTACTGGTAGGAACATGGGCAGTAGATGACATGAACGCTTTTTGTTGGTTTGGGTGTTAAACTATGTGGACAAAAAAAATAAATCTCATCATTAAACCACAAAATTGGAAATCAGATTCGAGTTGCAAAAACGTGGCTTTTGTCACAGCAGGTAAACCTTCGGTGTGCTCCTCCCTCTCTACTTTAACTCAAGATAACAGTGATCTGGGAAGGGGGTTATTAAGGTGAACCCATGAATTCCCTTAACCACTGCTCTGCCTCCGGGTGGCGGATATTACCGAGGGCAGCACTACGGCACGGGCTCCGTGTCTCCGGGCTCGCAGTGATTGCTTTCTGCTCTCTCAAAGCCAGTGGAAGCAGCATGTTCCGTCCTTATCCTACTGAACAGAACATCATTCCCCGTGTCTTCCCTCCATTAGGAATTCAGCAGAAGCTCCCGTTGCAGCCAGCCTCCTCCTCTCTATGCAGAATTTTGCCAGGGGTTTGGGTGAGTCAAAGAGCGACGCAACCACTGTCATGGAAAACCCATCACAAGGTCTGTGACCGCTGGTGGCTTCGATACGCGACTGACTTTTAATGATGTGCTGGAACAAGAGTAGCTCAACTGCAAAGATCTGTTCTCAGGGGATGCCCTAAACCCCCAAATCTTCCTGCGCGGTGTTGGAAGGGGGTTTAGTTATGGTCAACCCAGAGTGACGTGTAGAGGAGACACAGGGAGTCACTAAACTCCTCCAGACCCACCTACCTTCAGCCCTTTCAGCATTTGGTAGACCAGGTACTGGATCTTTTCGTCACTGAATTCATGTCCCATGATCTTTTGTAAGTCTGTCCGCATGTATGGCATCACCAGGTAGCTAAAAGGCAGTAAGATAAGGCCCTGAGTCTAGAAGAAAAAACAGGGAACCAGGGTAGCTTTCTTCTCACTTGTTCTTTTTCCTGTGCCTGTGTAACTTATGGAAATAAGAGGAGTTGTTGTGACAATGCTCCTGGCTAACGAGCACAGCTTCTTTTTCCTGTGCCTGTGTAACTTATGGAACTAAGAGGAGTTGTTGCGACAATGCTCCTGGCTAACGAGCACAGTGGGATTTCGACCCGCTCTGAAAATCGCCCTTTCTCCTCCCCTCAAATCAGATATCTGACGTCAAGTAAGAACAAGGATCTTCCAAACTTCAGCGATCCCGAGTTAGTTTCACTTCAGACCTCAAGTGATGCTCAGTTCCGGATGGCCTTACGCCATCTGGGAGCTGGAACATCTTGCGCAGCTTTGAAGAGTCTTGGCAAAACTGCTGCGTTAGCTCCCAAATTTATCTTTGTAACATCCTCCAGCCCTGGAGACAACATCTAGCTTCCTTCAGTCTTTGGCCTGCCTGCTGAGACTGCTAATTAGCTGACGGTCTTCCAGCAGGAACTGCTCTGAGAACCTTCAAA